ACGTGAGTTCAATGTCAACTGACATTTTTCTCCCTTGCTTGGTTTACCACCAAGCTTGATGAAATGTTCTGGAGCTCAAAAACTTGCACATTATTTTGTGTCATTTTGGGTTGGTTATCAGGCAAACCCCCCCCCCCAAACAGTGTGCAAGGGTTTGAGTTTGGGCCAATGTGGCTTATGGGAATCTTTCCTGTAAGCCAACATGTCTACCTTTGCTATTCAAAAGCTGTTCCTTCCTTCTCAGATGATTCCTTGTATATACAGGGGCAAAACAAAACGACTCAGTGCCTCTTTGGGGAATATAGTTGAAGAAGAAGGCCTTCAAGCAGGGATGTTGCACACCAGGAAGGGAGCCTGGCTTTTTGTTACAGTTTGATTTTTTTTATGTTAACTTCTATTCTGCTCAAGAGCTAACTTTATTTATTTTAAAATCATTTGGGAAATGCTTTTGGTATTAACACGAGGTGGAATTCAGCCCCACGCTCTTCCAGTCATTCCATCTGCGTGAGGCTTGCTGCTTCCCTCTGCACTCTGTTCTGGGGTATTTCTGCCCCCCCCCCAGCTGAACCTATTGCAGGGCGCATGGGGGGAGGAGAGCGGGGAAAGCCCTGTCATGTAAGGTGGAAGTTCTTGCTAATGGGGTTGGCTAGGTGAATCACGCTCCCTGTATTTTCAACTGCACCAAAGCTGTTTTTTTCTTTGTTGGGTTTGGGGGCTTAGGTCTTCCCCTCCCCCCATTGCTTAGTATTGACACTGCTACCATTCCCTCCCCCCTCATTTTTGCTTATCTGGAATTTTCATAGACTGAAAATCATTATTCTGTGGAATTTACTACCAAGCATATGTTCTGAGGATTGTATTTCTATTCATGCCAAGCAGGTGTTTCCTGTGAACCTATTTGGCATGGATTTCTGAGGAGTTGATAGGTGAGCATAGGATTTAGCTCTATTGTGTGGAGCCCTTTTTTTTTTGTTTCCTCAATTTGGTGGGAGAATGTTGGCAGTAAAAAAGTACAGTAGTTCATGTAATGCAAACAAAAGTTATGAGGCCTTGATCTCAATGTGAAGTGAAAACCATTTTGGGTGTCCTATTATGCCTTTTCTGATTGCATTCTTAATAATAAATGGTTATCTACTTTGCCTACTCTCGTGCAGGCTGCAGTGTGTGGGTGGAATTTCTGTGTTTCCAGACAGAGTTATTGTTGGATGCTGGGCTGAGTGTGGGCATAAAGCCCATTTGAATCTAGAGGGGCTGCTCTGGAGTAAATGGGCTGTGGATCATAGCCGCATTATGCTGATGCTGAATTGCCAGGTATGAATCCAGCAGTTTTGAGAATGCTCACCAAACTGCACTGTTCCATACTATAGATCTGTAAAATCTATACATTTTATATATTTATAGTCCCACTAGGACCTGGACTGTAAATTTCACAGATCTATAGGCCAAGACAGTGTAGCTACATATAATTGTTGCAACCATGGATAGGATATAGACATCAGTGCTGTCCAACCAGCATTCAGGTCCGGGCTTTTGGCTAATGCCTGATTTGGTTGACTGTAGGGGCCGGGCTTGCTTTGATTTGCTCTGCCTATAAAGTTTGAGAATCAACTAAGACTGCAGTCCTTTAATAGCTTACCTGACAGTAAGACCCATTTAACTTCTGATTCTTAACGCCTTGTGAAGATGTACATTGTATGTTAAACTGTGATGTTTAGAGACAAGTAGTGAATTATATACAGTGGTACCTTGGGTTACAGACGCTTCAGGTTACAGACTCTGCTAACCCAGAAATAGTACTTCGTGTTAAGAACTTTGCTTCAAGATGAGAACAAAAATTGTGTGGCAGCGGCGCGGTGGCAGCGGGAGGCCCCATTAACTAGAGTGGTACCTCAGATTAAGAACAGACCTCCAGAATGAATTAAGTTCTTAACCCGAGGTACCACTGTATTTCCAGTACTACTGATAGGAATAATTGTTTGAATCTAGTACAGAAACTATATGACATGCTGTCTTGACGTTTTATTAACTTTTAGCCTCTATGATTGCAGGCAATGCTTTAGAGCAGTGCATAAGCCCCTTTCACATGCTAGGGTCTTTTTCACCAGCATAGTGATCAGTATCTTCCTTCATGATATTGTCCATAAGCATCTGGGTTGGAAGAACAGCCAGTGGGGATGGACTTTTTATGGTAACAGCTCTTACTAGAATAGATTGAAGCAACTTCTTCAGGAATGACTGAAGATGTTGGCTGTAGGGGAAGCTCTTCTAAGTTCTGGCAGTGCTGAATGCTTGCTAGCAGTCATGTTTCATACAACTGGCATATTGGACTAGTCTGTGAGATACTATTGCAATTTATTGCTGATATTTACTTACCTTTGTTCAGGAGAACAGCAATGATAAATCTTTATTAGTAATTACAGGATGTCATCTGTCCAACAATCTTTGAATTCATTTGAGCCACAAGCATTAGTCTGTCAGTTATTGAATTAATGCTGAAACAAATGAAAGAGCTGCCTAGGCTGATAAGTTTTTGAAAGAGAAAATCAAATGGTGATTATCTCTTTGAGAATGCAGTTCCCCCCCCCATTAAAATTTTATTGTTCTTTTATAATCTCTTCCTTCATAAATTGGATGTACGTAATAATGTCATTTACTAAGGTCACAGAACTGGGGGAGAAAACTTCTCAGATGGCTTCATGACCCCTTTGAGCTATTATTTCCCTTTGAAGGGAATAAGAGCCTTCCTAAGTACCCAAATTAATTTTGTTTTTATGGTTACATAAATAATAGCAGTGAAAGGCTTGGTATAGGGTGCAACTGACTGCTCTTACAATCCATCGACTCAATTTTTAAAAACCAGCACAAGATTAACATTTTTATCCCAGGTAAACAGTATCTTGTTCATGAAGTATAAAAGAACATACAAATTGTTTTAAGATGACAGGTTGAAACAAGTTACTATCACTTCCTTCATTTTATCTGAATCTAATAATGAAGTTCAGCCATTATATAGGGGGAAATGTGTGGGAATGCATTAGATACTTGCAACTTGGTGGTCTTTGGACTGCCACTTAGACTGCAATCCTGACCCTGCTTACCTGGGAGTAAGTCCCACAGAATACAGTAGGACCTACTTCTGAGTAAACATGGTTAGGATTGTGCTGTAACTCAACTTCATCTTTACTGAAGATTTTGGTAAAGATTTTACTTTTATTTTTACTGCAGATTCATGTGTTATGGGACATTGTACCATTGCTGAACTAGGTCCTACATTTTTAAGGCTATGCTTGCACATTGTGGCTTTTACCGCAAAAGTGGTAGTTGTCACAAAAAGTCCCTCTTCCGTACTGCTGCACTTACAAACATGTGCACACAAACATTTCCACTGCTCTATGAGACATCACCACAGCAGATCTCAAGCAGGCACACAAAGATGGCTTAAGAAAGTCACTGGTTCCCCCATGGACCACTTGGAATTTGCTGAGTGTCTTGGAGGACCACTTAATAATTTTTCTGCCTCTTGTAGCAATTGTAATGAACTGTACTAGATGCTGTATATGGAACACAGTTTGGAAACCCCTGGCCTAACTGATTCTTCATTCTCCAGGAGTGAGGTGAATTTCTAGACCTTCTCCCTCTCCTGGTGCTATTACATTAATTCACATGAACTTTAGTTCAGTTGAGTTTACAGACCACCTATGCTTCAAAAATCAAACACTACCCTGAACTGGGACATCCTTGAGAATAATCTCAGCAAAATATGCCAAGTCTCTAGTTTCTTCACTTAACCTGCTAGTTATTTTTACTGACTTGCCCAATATATGTTAGAAAGAACTGAAGCACATAAGCAGAAACGGCTTCCCCTGTTTTCTGTTATCTTTTATTCTTCACCTGAATTATTTGTTCCTGTCATGCTACCTTTTACATCACTCTCCCGTGGGCTACTGCTGTTAGTCTTTCCATGCTTCTTGATGTATTATTTGAGTCATAGGCCTTTATGGGCTTTGTTGCCAGAGATTTTTTGCAACTCATCGCAACTCATCGCAACTAAAAATAGCCCAAATTTCATTTCTCTTGCTATTGTAGATTGCATATTTAAGCTTTTTTCCCGGGGGGTGGGAGTGGAGAAAGAAAAGGATAGTCTTGGTTGAAATATACCTAAAATGGTTTGCTAAATCTCACTAAAGTTTTGAAACGTCTTGCCATTGTCCTTGTGTTTATGCCCCAGTTAATTATTAGCATTAGGACATACTCCATCAGCATCGATATCAAAGCTGGGTGAAATGGGAAAGAAAGGTGTGTATATGTGAAAGTGGTTAATTGCAGCTCATAGTCGTTTGTAACTGCTGCTTTGGAAATGGGTTTTACTTCAATCTAGCTGTAAAGCGGGTATGCAGGCACTGTTGGTGGTGCCTGCAAAGTTCTGGGCAAGGAAGCACTTTTGAAAGGGGCATCTAAAGACCCATGGGGGTTGACATTTATTTATAACATTTATATACCACTTGATTATTGGAAAAAACCCCTCAAAGCAGTTTACAAGAAGGATAATAAAATTATCACTAAAAATTTACAACTGTAATTTAAAACTTACAAAGTTAAAATCACAATAGAATAGACTAAAATGAATTAATACTCACACAGACTTCCTAAAGGTCTCCTACTCGCAGCAGAAACTTGTCTGAAGAAAGTTGTGCTGCAAAGGGGTTCCTGCTCCTAAATTATGTCTGAATGTGCCTTTGCAAGGTTCTCAGAAACAGAATCTCACAGGACAATGCATTAGGAAAGAGAGGCTACTATGTACCTTTTTTTTTTTTTTGGTACTCTAGGGTTTACTTGTGCAGCTCTTCTGATCATAGCTATATGCAGCACTGCATCCTCCCTTGATTTCTGTAGTAGATGCTTCCCCACCCCCAACTTTGTCTTCAGTATGCGTTAACACTAAGCAAAAGCAACAACATTATACTCGCGTCTAACCTTCTAATTCCTGCTTGATTTTTCAGACCAAAGCACTGCCATGAAGGGTGAAGCTTTACTTTCCCCCTGCTGGATCTCTAACTACGATTTGGGGCATGGCCATGGATCATGACACCACCTTATATGCTAAAATGCCTTGAAGCCTCTTTATCTCTCCCTTGCATTCTGCTCTGTAGGAAGTGATGTTTTTTTCTGCAATGCTGACGCCTGCTCATTCTGGGACATTCAATGCAACTTTTATTGTCTATGAAAATATGTACGCAAATATCACCACCCCCTCCTTCTTGGTTCGTAGTGGCACAACGCAGCCACTGAAATATCATTTGGGTGCCATGGTTATCACTGAGGTAACTACTCTGACAACCAACACTACAACTGCCCACCCATTGCAACCGGGCTCCAAGAGCTTAAGCCTGCCGCTCCAGGTAATTCTTTCTGCTGCCATGATATTTATACTCCTCGTTTCTTTCCTTGGCAACCTTGTTGTCTGCCTAATGGTCTATCAGAAGACTGCAATGCGATCGGCTATTAACATTCTCCTAGCGAGCCTGGCTTTTGCAGACATGTTGCTTGCCGTGCTGAACATGCCTTTTGCTCTGATAACTGTCATCACAACCCGGTGGGTTTTTGGGAATATCTTCTGCAGAGTCTCGGCCATGTTTTTCTGGCTATTTGTCATCGAAGGGGTGGCCATTCTGCTTATCATTAGCATTGACAGGTTCCTTATAATAGTTCAGAGGCAGGATAAGCTGAATCCATACCGGGCAAAGTTCCTCATTGCTGTCTCATGGGCTGCAGCCTTCGTAGTTGCTTTCCCGCTTTCTTTGGGAAACCCCAACCTGCTACCTTCCAGAGCACCTCAGTGTGTGTTTGGCTACACAACAAGCCCTGGCTACCGTGCCTATGTGATACTGGTGGTACTGATTTCATTTTTCATCCCGTTCTTGGTAATGTTGTATTCTTTTATGGGCATCCTCAACACTGTACGGCACAACGCAGTTCGCATCCACAGCCACCCAGATAGCATATGCCTCAGCCAAGCTAGCAAACTTGGTCTCATGAGCCTTCAGAGACCCTTTCAGATGAACATTGATATGAGCTTTAAAACTCGTGCCTTCACCACCATATTGATTTTGTTCATTGTCTTCATAATCTGCTTGGCGCCCTTCACCACCTACAGCCTTATTGCCACATTCAACAGCCACTTCGATCAGAAGCACAACTTCTTTGAGATAAGCGCTTGGCTCCTTTGGCTCTGCTACCTCAAGTCTGCCCTAAACCCAGTGATTTACTACTGGAGGATCAAGAAATTTCATGATGCATGCTTAGACTTGATGCCGAAGTACTTCAAGTTTTTGCCACAGCTACCTGGTCACACCAGAAGACGTATCCGGCCTAGCGCAGTATATGTGTGTGGGGAGCACCGGTCAGTTGTGTGAAACTTGCAGCAAAGGGACACTTGTTCTTTTTCTGATGTACGTAAATTTTGGTGGATTGAAATACAATGGCTTCTTTAGCTGCCATGTTTGTAACTTTAGTACGTATTCCAGCTACCATGTGCAATTTCAAGAGAGAGATCATATTCAGACTTTGCTACTGGAGTATATGACTAAACAAAGATATTGGCTACAAACCCAAAAAGCTCCATGTGCACAAAGGAAGAATAATGCAGAGAGAGATTTCTGTTTGCCACAGCAGCTTCCACTGCTGCAGTTTAGGTTCCTCCTTCAGCAGATACAACTTCAAAGAAAACTCCTGCTATGTGCAGTTTCCCCCCTTGCACACGTGTAGCTTTCTGTGGATTGTGGCCACTACCTACAGCTTTCTGCAGTGGAGAGGAAGACTTATTTGAATTATTTCTCAAGTTTGATGCTCAATGACTGCAGGTCCACTTAATTGTAGATGTTTTTAATGCTGCTATTTTATGGTACATTGGGCTGAATACTTACTTTTTTAAAAAAAAAAGATGTTGCTGTTTTATGCCAACATAGGCCGCATATCCACTATGTATTTAGAGCAGTATCATACCACCTTAAACAGTCATGGCTTCCTCCAAATAATCCTGGGAACTGTAGTTTGTTAGGGGTGCTGAGAGTTGTTAAGGGATCCCGATTCCTTTCACAGAGTTACAATTCCCACAGCTCCCAGGGAAGAAGGATTGATTGTTAAACCGCTCTGGGAATTATATCTCTGTGAGGGAAATAGGGATCTCCTAACAACTCACTGCACCCTTAACCAACTATAATCCCCAGGGTTCATTGAAGGAAGCTATGGCTCTTTAAAGTGGTTTGATACTGCTTTAAATGTATAGTGCAGATGGGACCATAGCAGAGCCAAAAGGTCTCTATTTAATTTAACATTTCCAAGAGTTGTAGTGATATTCAAAATAGATTCTACTTATCTTTGTGCACTTTAAAAAGAACTGTATAGGGGTGTTTTGTTTTTGTGTGTTTTGTTTCTTCCTGCAAGGGTTTAGTTTTTTATCCAACTTTTGTAGTGTTTCAGTAAACAATCTTTTAACAAACATTGTTTTCAGAAGGATAGATCTGCAAACACTGAGTTTATGTGAATCTCAGAAGCTCAGTGCATGTCGCTCTAAGTGAGGCTATACATAAATACATTCATTGTGGTCCAGCAGAAGTTAAACATGCTTAGGTCTCATTGAAACCATAACATTAAAATCTATGAATTTTAGTTGCTGAAGCACATGGGATTTTGTTTGGGGTCCTATTGATTTCAATGGGATATAAGCATCTTACATTTCTATGAATTTTACCTGTTCCGTGTCATAGGCTGAGCCCTGACCAAAAACAATTGATGCCATATTGCATTTTTTAAAGTACAGTGGACGCTTGGGTTGCGAACGTGATCCGTGCGGGAGGCACGTTCGCAACCCGCAGTGTTCGTGACTTATGTGTCTGCGATTCGGCGCTTCTGCACATGCGTGAAGAGCGATTTAGCGCTTCTGCGCATGCGCAAGTGCCGAAACCTAGAAGTAACCCGTTCTGGTACTTCCAGGTTCGGCGCGGTGTGCCAACCGAAGCGCCTGTAACCCGAGGTATGACTGTATACAAATTTCAGGGCCCAAAGAGCTACTTTATGTATATACCCAATGGAAACTACCATTATTCCTTTGGAATGCCAAGCCTCTAAGTCCATGTCACAAACTGTTTCTGAAACTGCCCTTAGTTTCAAGAGAGATTTGTCACCTGGAATAGTGGTGCAGTTGCTTGAGAAACGTTAGAACAACTCTCCTTTGTGCCTGTGGAACTAATTGTATGGTCTTTTGGATCAAAAAGGAAACAGTACTAACTTTTATTCATAAAGGGACCAGATCTCCACAAGGTACAAATAAAAACTGTTAATATATTGGAGCTATTATTAATGCACTGATTTCTTCTGTATGAGAGGTTTTTGGAGGAGGGAATTCTTTTAAAATGCTTTAGAAAGTGAGAGTAAGCAGGGGTTTCATACTTCCACAGGCATTAATAAGTTATCTTACTTGCATTATCAACCAGATTTAATTCTTCTCCCTCTTTCTTTAGTCAAGTCATTTTGTAGGGTTGCATCAGTTACCAGCTTTACTTGTCTTGATGTTAGCCCTACAAACACCAGGTCCTATTTGAGAAAATATGAAAAAAAAGTATGGAAAATTATGTTAGGAATTACTCGAGAATACTTGCGTGCAATCTGTTAAATGAACTTAAAGATGCCAATATATTAAATCTATCATCAGTTCTACTGTAGTTTACAAGAGGGCTAGATATGTTTTTGCTGGGGTTCTTTTTAACCTAATTGATTTCTTCAGTGGCAGCAAATGACATAACTGAAAACCACTACTTGGTCAAACAGGAAGAAGCAATGCTGTTCCTCTGAAAATTAAGTATATATATTTTTTAAAGTTGTGTTATGGAAGAACATTTCATAGACTGAGGTGTGTTTGCTGTTGATGCTACTTTACCTAACTTATTTTTACTGCAGGGAGAATTCATTGCCTCCCATTAAATCTATTACTAAATGTTATCACTCTCTAACAAAGGAACTTGTCAATGCTGTCAATAACCAGTGCCATTGTTCTGTCTTCCAAAGGAAAGCAACATAACCCGCCTTTATGTGGTAACTGAAAGGGATCCTCACCTTAAAAGGGGCAGCAAGGATGTACTACTGATCATGCTTCTTAATATCTATAAATTGACCTTGGATATCTGAGCTGGGCAAGCTCTACAACACGTAGACATCTGCGCCTAAAAGCTTCCATTGAAGCTGGAAACCTATTCACACAGAACTAGACACACAGGCTTCCCTAGCTTGGACATCCATGCTTAATGCAGAGAACCACATACTGTGGGAGTCCTGTAATCGGTTGGCCATCTTCATGTGCTTAACATTTGAATGGGGGCTATCAATGCAATAAAATATAAATAGAGAGGCGAGAGATATCGGAATTTGTAGGACATTTGTTTTTCATGTATTTCTGAAGAGCAAAATGTTCTTGAAGTTATAGCAGCAAGTTATATGCGGGAAAACAATCTTCCTTCTAGTAGTGCATTTATTTATTTATTTTAGTTGTATCAGAATATGTACTCTTTACAGTGCCTGAGGGATCAGGTCTTGCACCTCCCTATGCAATGCAATCATGTGCATTGTATTACCTACAGAGACAAACACTGGCCTCACTTTTCTATCTTATTTTCTTTATGGGTGCAGGTTAGAGTTCAACACAGCCAGCATATCTTCATACATCGTGAGACAGTTTGGGCATCTCATCCTTTAAAATTGTGGGGTGGTTCTTACATTAAATGGCAGTGTAAGGTATACTCGGGTGTAAATTAGTACTTCTGTTCCTGTGACTGGAAAAGTAAAAGTAGAATGGATTTAAATTTGACCAAATAACACATACCAAACTTCACTAATTGACTACAATGCACAAAAAAATGCTGAAAGGTTTAGACCTTGACATTTGCAGGAAATATTTCTCCTTAAAACTTTTGCATTCGGAAAATAGCTTTCCTATGATGATAAGGCATTCCTTTGTATACAGGATGATTCTGTAAACAACAAGCATTCTTGAAGCACGAGCCTGTTGTGTTGACTTGGAAGCAAGTCTCACAACATGCAATGGGTCTTGCTCCCAGGTTATGCGCCTAGGATTGCAGATGCTGTCTTCAGCCAGCATGTCTTTCTGCACTAGGTGGCGAGGGTATGGCTATGCTTATGCTGTACAACTGTGAATTTACTTTGCAACAGAATTTGGTATCTGATGCAGTATATGACAGCCTGACTTTTTTTAGTGGCTTAGAAGTGAAGAAAAAAAAATCCTGTTTCAACAAAAAGGTTGGAAGTAAGAGGTGACTAGACAAAATGTCTCTCCCTCATTCTCTCTCTCCCCCCTTTCACCTGCTCTTCTGGTCTTTGTTCTCTGGATTTTTAAATTGTGCTGCACTTGGAGTAAGGTAAAGGTAAAGGTACCCCTGCCCGTACGGGCCAGTCTTGACAGACTCTAGGGTTGTGCACCCATCTCACTCAAGAGGCCGGGGGCCAGCGCTGTCCGGAGACACTTCCGGGTCACGTGGCCAGCGTGACATCGCTGCTCTGGCGAGCCAGCGCAGCACACGGAACGCTGTTTACCTTCCCGCCAGTAAGCGGTCCCTATTTATCTACTTGCACCCGGGGGTGCTTTCGAACTGCTAGGTTGGCAGGCGCTGGGACCGAACGACGGGAGCGCACCCCACCGCGGGGATTCGAACCGCCGACCTTTCGATCGGCAAGCCCTAGGCGCTGAGGCTTTTACCCACAGCGCCACCCGCGTCCGCACTTGGAATAGGTAAATATTAAAAAGATCTTTGTATGCTAGGAAAGCTATTAACAGGATACTGTGTGTTAAAGGGAAACGTGAGCATGTGTGATTTTAAAATGTGATATTGTGATATAGCACCATTGGCTCTGTTGCTTTTCACATGCTGTTTTAGAACAGTGCCTTGTTATTTGGGATGAATTTCTATATCCTCTTACACTTGAGAAGCTTTCACTCCTACTGGTAATCAGCTGCACACATGCATACATTTACACTTCTCTAAAGTTTACACCCGTGTTTACAGAAGTCATTTTGTATGCATTTCAGAAGGCAACAGTGAAGTAGAGATTTCCCCCCTCTCCAAAAAAATAAATAAAAATGATGTAAATCATGCCATTAATAAATTTTGGTAAGGACTTTTACCCTTTGTTTATTTTTCAAATACATATTTGCTTGAAGTTCCTCCTTTTAATAATGGGGAAACAAAAAAGGGAGGAGATTGCAGTAGGAAGATCAAACTGAATGTGATTTTTAAATATATATATTTATAGCTATCTAAACTACTTGTCAAAACTGTCATGGTTGTACAAACCTGTTGCTAAAGGGGGTTTTCACTGCAAATTATTGAGGGACATTGTACATGTCTTGAGGGGATTTACTACTTTGTGTAACCTTTTTTGTTTGTACAGAGAATAACAGTGGTGTTTCTTCTCCTCCCCTTCTGTTCGGTATTTTTATATATTTTTTAAAATGAATTTATGCATAAGTAGCTGCCCGAGTTTGATATTCTTTCATATATTTCTCACCTACAGTTCATGAAACACTGTCCTGACAGAAAGATGTATTAGTTTATTTTTGCTATATGGCAACTAAGCCAATATTATGCACTTGTTGCAGGTGAAAAAGCTATGAATTTCTAAAATCTTTTACTTTATAGAATTGATATTGGTTGTCAATGAAATGAAATGGTTTGACTTTCCTTTCCTTTTTCTTCTTCACAAAGCCAGTATGGATAGGGACACCTCAGATGTAGAGTTCTAAACTAAAGGTGAAGCGTGTATGATGTACATATATTTTCCTTGGAAATAACGGGAAAACAAAGGGGGGGAATGAACTTTGTCTAGCAGTCCAGAAGGAGCCTGCTAATGTTAACCAATCATGTCTATTCTTGAAATGCTGACCTATTAAAAATGTTTTCATAACAATTCAGTTTTTGTGTTTTGTTAGAAAAATCAGAGGCATGGTTTTAGAGCCTTTTGAAGACTAGTGTCTAATATAAGCAATTCTGACCTTTCAAATT